TTATCAAGTTTGGTAAATAATTTTGGCCCAAAACAACCTAAAAATGTTGTTGCTAAGGACGTTGCTAAGGGAACAAACTAATACATGTCTTTAAAGAAAGTGAATTTTGAAAAAATCTAATTAAGAAACATGTGTAAAAGTATATATTTTCTGAACGAGCAAAAATTTTTCTTTTAAATTACACCAATAACAAAAATTTGATTTTTTACATATTTTTTTACTAGACGACCACCTTAAAGCAAAAAAATTAAAGATTTTTTAGTGAAGAGAACACTGATCTAACGGTAACTAACTTAAAATGTCTTTCAATATTTGTGTACAATCTTTGCTTCGTTAGCACAGATACTTTCCCAATATAAGAATGTTTAGAAAAACGAGAGTATGTTTGATCAAAGGGTAAAGAAACTCTCTTTTGTTAAGTAAGAATAACGGGTTTTTTAGCTAATAAAAAAAACCACAATTCCTTGTTCACATTTCCTACTTTAAAAATTTTGAACTCTGTAAAACTATAATTACTTTTTAATACTCTAAAGTTGTTTTCAGACCTAACAATCTTTTCTTTTTAGCAATTGTATATATCGGTTTAAATATCGTTTTTATATATCATTATTATTTTTTTTTTTATCTTCTTTTTTTAAATTAGTTTATATAAATACATTATTTTTATGTTAAATAGTATTCAAGGATTTATACTCATAGTATGTATAAATATATACTGCAATAAGAATAAATTGTACCGCAAACTCAAATCTTAAAAATGTTTGTAGTTGCCGGATATGAATAATATAAAAGTTTCAAATGAGAAACAATTGTCTCTTCGTAAACTTAAGATTATAACCTTAGGTTTAGTAGTCTATAGCCTTCGTAAACCTAAGGCTATAATTTTAAATTAAAATTCAAACTTTTAAATGTTTTAAAAGTTCTAGTGCAAAAAATCTGGTCTGCAAAAAGTTAATATATTCAGATATTATTTTACTTGTAAAAATAAGTCTAGAAGAAATTAATACTTGCAATAATCTACAATGAAAGTGAATTTTTCTAAAAACAACGTTTTTCAAGCGAACTAAAAAGTAGAAAATAATTTTTCCTTGAGCTTGTCAGAATGTCTGATTATATTCCTCTCATAATGATGACATATTTTATAACAAATTTGATACACGTAAAACGGAAAACGTTGGGCAATTCAGATTTTGGTAATTTCAAATTATTATCTATTTATTTTAATCTAGTTTAAAATAAATAACTTATAATTTTTATACTATTTCAAAAAGTATTTTGAAAAAACTGTTTGAAAAAGTATTAACTCGTTACACTCTGCACATACCCGCATGCGCTCGCACGCACATACACATATTATGCTCCAAAGTGAAACAACAAGCAATTAGATTACATAGTCATAGATATAAAAAACGAAAAAACTAATAATAGAAAACTTTTGGGTAAGTGTAGTAAAAAATTATTGCGAAAATTTGTTGCTATTATTTTCAAAAATCTATTTTTTAAAAAACGCATAAAAAGGAGTCCTATCAAAGATTTAAAACAAAGATTTTTGCATTCATCAAAAGTAAGAAAATATAAAAATTGACAGCCATTTTAAAGGACACTAAAGGGAACTAAAGAACAATATTAAAGACATTAAGCTCATTATTATAAAAAGGAACCTTTGACGAAAAAAGAGTAAAAAGATTAACCTAATATATTTTTTCAATTACAGTTTTGTACAAAAGAAACGTTTCTACTACGAAACAAAAAAATAAAAAGATACCAAAAAGAAACGAATATAAAAATTTTTTTTAGTCCGATATAAAAGTAAATGTGTCAATTGATAAATCATTTGGAAATGATATTAAAAACACTGAATTTATTTATTGATAGCAAATATCAGATCAGTTGTTAAAATATTTTTAAAAAGTTTTGATTGGATTTTACAAACACATACAAACTATTTGCATATAAAAAAGTCATTAATTAAAATTCCAAAATCAAGTAAAACAGTTTCCTAGATATGCTACAGTAATTTTACAATTTGCGTGTCCGAAAAATTTTAACTTCTGCTCTGCAGAAATAAATTTATTATCTAGTATTATTTGTACATTGCAACCAATCATAGTGCAAGTTAAAATGTTGTGTTTCCCAGATGTTTATAAAATAACTATTGATTTCATATTAAAATTTGTGACGAACAAATTATTAAAAAAAAGTCTTAGAGTTTAGAAATAAAGAATGCTTTAATTTTTGAAATTAAAAAAGAGCAAAGGAAATATTCTGATGTTCGGGTTCATCTTTATACTTTTAAAGATCATTGGTTTAACAACCCTGCAAATAGTTCGATTTTTGTAACTTATTATTAAAATGTAACAACGAAAAAATAAAGATAATTCAATTGCAGTTGATCAAATACCAGATAAAAACAATTAGATAAAAATGATAATGCCCAGCCGGCACAAACATGTATTTAAGACGTCTTTTTTTACCATCTAAAATGTTAACACTCTTTAGATGTCTAAATTCAGATGAATATAAGACATTATTATTTGACAGCTATTATTTGTCGTCTCAAAGATAAATACAATTAGATGTCTTAAAGTTATCTGAGCTTAGACTTTTAAAAGGTGTTAACATTTTAGATTTTAAAAACACGTGTTTGTGCTGGCTAGGTGGTGGAATGTTCCAACCACAAGAAACCAACTAACCATAAAAGACAAACAATTTGATTTAATTGAAAAATATATGATAAATAGTACAAAATAATTAGTTAAAACATCACATGTTTAAAAATAAGAAGAAAAAATGAATTACAATGCGTTAATGAACAACACAATAAAGGAAAAATTCTTGAAAAAACTTATTAAGATTTATTAAAAATAAAAAGTGTTAAATCACGATCGGCTTTTTTTGCTGCATAATTTGTGCCAAAAAAGTTTAGTTTTTACTTACATTTTTTTTTTTGCCATAAAAAGTTTTGCTAAATAGTTGTAAAACATATTTTTATCATAAAAACTAGTGGCTTCAAGGGACTAGGCGACAAGACAAGCAAATGCTCATTTTACCCTGGTCGTTTATATTATATACCTTGGCCGTATGTATTATAAATTCCGAAGCTGAAAACATTTTAATAACGGCAAAAGTACAAAAAGTACACTTTTTTATAATATTTTTATTGTAAATCTTTTTTTATTTTATTAAATTACTTTCCATAAATTAAAATTTTTTCCCTGTAATTTTTAGTTACTTAAACTAATAGTATTAAACTCGATAAGCTCTTCTTTTTTATACTTAGAGTGGAGAGGGGCTAGCTAAACTCGATAAGGTCTTCTTTTTTATACTTAGAGTAGAGCGGGGCTAGCTGAGCAATTTTTACTAAATCTAACAAATCATGAATGGTACGTAAGATTTATAAAAACGTTTCACTATTGAAAAAATAATTTAACCTCCTAAAAATTGATTCAAAAAGTATATTTGTTTGAGAAGGGAAAACTTAAAGTTTACCGAGCTGCTCAACATGATCCAACGGGGTAAGTTGTTACATCCAACGGGGTAAGTTGTTACATCCAACGGGGTAAGGGGTAAGTTATACCATTTGATCAGGCTGAGCAGCTCAGTACACATTATTTAGGGCAAGTTTAGTAATCAACGAATAAGTGAATATACATGATTCTATATCATACTTGGATAAGTCATCAATAAAACTATTGCTAACAATGGTGACAAAATGGTCACATAAATAAAATGTGTGCTAAATATGTGTCTATAATGTTCAATGTATATATATATATATATATATATATATATATATATATATATATATATATATATATATATATATATATATATATACATATATATATATATATATATATATATATATATATATATATATATATATATATACATATATATATATGTATATATATACATATATATGTATATATATATACATATATATGTATATATATATATATATATATACATATATATATGTATATATATATATATATATATACATATATATATATATATATATACATATATATATACATATATATATATATATATATATATATATATATATATATATATATATATATATATATATATATATATATATATTATATATACATATATATACATACATATATATATATATATATATAAATATATATATATATATATATATATATATATATATATATATATATATATATATATATATATATATATATTATATATATATATATATATATATATATATATATATATATATATAATATGTATATATATATAATGCACCACAAAATTGTTTCAGTTTTATTTTTTTCAAAGCTGCTTAATTTACTCTTACGAGACAAGGTGACACATATGGTTTTTAAAAGAACAATAAAATTAAGAAAAAAACGGCTAATTATAATGGAAAGTCCGATAAATTGGTAAAATATCAACACTTAAGTGATGGCAAATAAATAAAATGTTAAAAAGATATTTTGTCCAAGTTGCTCCAATGCTCAACAATTCCCGGTCTACCCTATATATAGTATAATATATAAATACATAAATTAAATGTAATTTTATAAATATAATCGATTTTATATATATATATATATATATATATATATATATATATATATATATATATATATATATATTTATATGTTATAATAATTAGTTTTAATTCATAATATATAACTCACATTATATACTAAATTTAATTAGAATTTCAATAACTGTACAAAAAAGCAAATACTTAAAAAAGCATTAAATAATCGAAACCAAAATCTTCAAAGATTGAGTAATACTTAACTACAAAATACTTGCGTAATTTTTTTTAATTTATACACTAGTTGCTTAACTAAAAGAAATCTTTTCTGAATAAGCAACAACTAGAACAAAATAACAATAAATAATAATAAAAATAACAATAAATAATAACAATAAACGGTAAAACTAGCTAAAGTAGGTAAAACTAAATAAAAAATGATTTATTTTTATTTTTTTATTGATAGATGAACAAAGATTACTGGCAAAATTATGAGGAAAAGCTTGATTTATCAGAAGATATTAAATACTTTAATAACGAAGACCTTAAAGGTATATATTGGTCTTTTGACCTTTAATGTTTATTTTTTATTAAAAGTTTTTTTTTCTAATTTTAATTTTAGTATAAAAAAGTTAAAGTAAAAAAACAAGCATAGTTGTTTATACGCTTATGTGAACGCACGCAGTAATTTATTATCTGGGTGTATTGCAGGGCGCATTCTTTAAAATAAATGCTTATGCTGTTTTGTACAGTTGAGCTATATGGATAACTAAGGTGGAAGTTTAACTGCATTAAAATGCTTTTTAATGCAGTTTAAATTTTAAAAGTTATCTCTTAACATTTTTTTAAATCTTAAGTAATAACAAACAAAAAAAAAATACTGCATTAAAACTGTGCTTAATTGCTTGACCATTTATTTTTTATTTTAAAATAGTAGTATAATACCGGTTTTACCGGTATTGAAAGAGGTAGCTACAGTGTTACCAGTATTGGAAAAAGTTGGTATTTTGTTTTTTTAGTTATTAAATTTACATATGTTTATTATTAATACTATTTTTACTTGACCCGAGAAAACTAGAAAACGTAACAAGGAAACAAACGACTTCTTTTTGACGCTTTTTTTTTTTTTTTTTTTTTTTTTGACGTCTGTTTATAACGTCTATTTATACGTCTTAATATATAACGTCCTATTTATAAGTTAATACAAGATCTCGAACTATCTTTTTGAATAACCTAAAACAATTTGTTCTAATTTGTTCAAATATATATATATATATATATATATATATATATATATATATATATATATATATATATATATATATATATATATATATATATATATATATATATATATATATATATATATATATATATATATATATATATATATATATATATATATGTTATGTAGCGAATTCATGCAACTACGTAGCGTAAGATTTACTGCAAAATGACCATCTTAAGTAACTTATTTATTACGGAGGTCTTGATTATTTAACTTGCTGTAATCAATATATACACAGGATGTTCTAAAAGCCACTAAATTGTTTTGTTTGCGTTTTTTTAATTAGATTAATAAATGTACATAAATACTTTAGACTTCAGATTGTTTCACAGGAAAAAAATGCCCGAAGTGGTTATATCGGATAACCGGGCAGACCAATTAAAATTGCCGTACGACTATGTTATTTAAATAATTAAATAACGACGAATGTATTATGTAGTTAAAATCACCGTATTATAATACTGTATTATAAAACGAATAAAAAAAAAAAAAAGATTAAGTAATCGAAACTAAATTTTTCAGTAGATTGAGAAATACATGTAAAATAAGCATATACATATAAATAAATATATACATATAAATAATACTATAAAATATTTACGTGGTTATTCTCTATTAAAACACCAGTTGCTAAATACGAAAAAAAAAATTAATTCAACAAAAAAAGTGAAACAAGGTAATATAGACTGAATCAAAGATATTGAAAATATTCATTGCATAATAAAAATTGTGTGGTCAAATTGATGTGCTCAACAAAAATATCTTGCAATTAACTCATTGGTCCTTGAGGCCTGTAGCCATGGAGAGGATAGAAATGTGTTTATTCAAAAGAAAACTTTCATATCTTGTTTTTTATAGAAATGCTTTGGTAGAGAACAAACTAGAAAGTATATTTCCGAAACTCAGTGATAGTTTGTAACATATATTGTGTAATTATTTAAAAATGATCTTTTCTTAAAAGATACTTTATAGGTTACTCGTCGAGAAGTGAAGTTACTGTGATATTTATTTTTAACCGACATTTCACGACGATCATTCTAGTTATTTTTATCAATAACACAATGTTTTTAATCAATCAGAAAGCATGTATATATATATATATATATATATATATATATATATATATATATATATATATATATATATATATATATATATATATATATATATATATATATATATATGTATATATATATATATATGTATATATATATATATATATATATATATATATATATATATATATATATATATATATATATATATATATATATATATATATATATATATATATATATATATATATATATATATATATATATATATATATATATATATATATATATATATATATATATATATATATGTATATATATATATATTCAGACTCATCGTGGACCTGAGATAATTTTTGATATGTTTTAATTTGGTAAATCTTTTTTTTTTGCAAATGCTACAGTTGCTGGTGCTGTATAAAGTATCTTCGAAATGACACTGAAATTTGGATATAAACTTTCTAGCTTGTACTCTATTAAAGCACTTAGCTTTTAGCAGACCAAAATGTTTTTTTTGGTGCACTAAAAACAAATCACTAAAATGTTAATTAAAAAATATTAAAATCATTTTTCGATGATAAATTTTAAAACGTAATCCAACAACAAGAAAATTAAAAAGACGAAAATTAATAAAAATTAAAGTATTGAAAAAATCTCTTAAAAGATTTAAAAAGAAATAATTCTTAATTGGTTTATAAAATTAATAAATCATTAGTAATAACACTATTTAAAATCAAAGATGTTAAAGAAATATATCAACTAAAGAAAACTCAATTTCTATTTTAATCGTTTTACCTTTCTCATTATTGTAAAGCTACATGTTTGTTTTTAGATTTTATTTGCTTTAACATTGCTTTAGCGAGTTAGTTAAACGATGAATAACAAATGACAACATTTAAATTGCGTTTTATGGTCTTCTTTTTTCTATTTGGAACTCACCGATGCTACATTACCTTTATCAAACCGATATATTCAGAAGTAAACAAAAGTTGCGTCAAAATATAAAAATAATTATAAAAAATGATCTTAACTAATAAGATTGGTGCTACGGCTAAGCCCTATGAAAAAGGGTGCTACTAGCACCCCCTTTCATTGGACCCAGTCGTAGCATCATTCTAATGGAATCATATGTTTTTCCGCTCTAATCAATTTAACACTGTCACCTTTTTTTTTTAACTATCAAAAAAACGGTATAACAATTAATCGAACCGTTACTCCACTTAAAGCTTTTACATAGACGTAAAAGCTTAAGTGGGTTTGCCTTGAATTTGCAATTCCCAGAAGCTACAATTTTGCTTAGATCTTAGATCAGCAGTATTTTTGTAGATTTGGGAGCAAAAACTAATGCAGTAATGATCTTGAAGACACTAATCTCTTTTTCATGATGAGCATTCTGATGTAGATTTTTGTTTGAAAGTTATAAAAAGTTAAAGGTTTTTTTTATTATTTAATTATTAACGTTTTTACGATCTGTTATTGTAAATTTATTTTACTAAATGTCATTTTAAGTTAAATGTTAAGAGTGTTTATTAAGAGTGTTTTTTTTGTCTTTTAAACAGTTTAACTTTTGGTTTTTTTGTAATAGTATGAGACAGCTCTTGATACATATTTTGCTGTAACCCATTGATTTTAGATTATATTTATCTTAAAAAGCCTTCAAACATTTGCATATTTAAATCTTCTACTCAAAGAAGTTAGATAACAATACAACATAGATTCCAGTTAGTGCTATAAATAAAGTTGCAATAAATAGTTCGTTTCTGGTTCATAGTTAATGAAACTTCCCTATTCGCTGGATAGTAATATACAAAAGGGATTCCAAAAAAAGCATGGGACTTTTTGTTGACTATCTAAGATAAAGTTCAGAAACTTCAAATGAATATACTGCTTAAAATGTCTTTTTAAATGAAGATGCAATTGTTAAAACTACAGTAAGCTGTTTATAAAGTGTATCAAGAACTTGTATATATGGATTTATAAGAAATATTAGACAATATCACTTAACTGGAAACTGCAAGGCACATGCTTGTTTCATTGGTAAACTGCAAAGCTCTACGCATGCTTGTACCATTGGTGATGCAGTTTTTCTTATATACTAAAAATACTTTCATTTTAATTTTTCTTAATTAACTAATAATTTTCTTTTACCTTTGTTTTTATGTTAAATTATTTTTTTCTTACAATTTTTTTTTGTGTAATTATTAAGGTACTCCAAGACGTCCTTACGGTTTTATTACAGAGCATGGCGGAAGAGCATTTAACAATCAAGTTCACGCTTTTTTCCTGACCAATTTTGCTTATCTGGCCAGAGCCGGATAACCACTTTAACCACTGCACCACGACTGCTAATAATTTGGCAATTTTTTTTGTTTTAGTTTTTACTATTTTACAAGTTAGTTGAACACTTTCTTGCAAAATTACTTTGTTTTTATATCTTATATTTTTAGCCATAATTTTTCCACCTTGTTAATTGCAAATATTATCTATTAGTTTTGGAATGTTTTCTTTTTTAGAAAACCATATTTTTTTTTATTCATTTGATTTCTATATGTTTTTTTTCTTTTTCTTATTCTTTTTATTTTCTTTTTATAGTAACTTCCTTGTTTTCAAAGAAATTTATCTTTAAGTTAAATTTTGTTTCTTTTTTTTTCTAATTTATATATTTTTTCATCTTCATAATAAATTATTTACAATACTTTTTAGTTAAGATGTGACGGGAGCAGTAAAAAGACAAAAGTCTTATCATCTAGCCCCGTTGTTTCTTTTGGATATGAATTAGTATCAATCTATCGAATAAAAAAATCATATCTCGGTAAAACAACCTTAAATACTTTTAAATATAAAGCTTTACTCTTTTTTTTTGTTTCTTTACTTCTAAAATAAAATCTAAACATAAATAAATGGATACTATAAATATTTAGTAGATAAACATTTATCACTTTTACATTTACCTAAGCTTTCTAGGCAGTGAATTGGCACTGTTGTATTTATTAGCATTAAATATGAGATGGCTTGCTTTTTTTGTATTTTTCATTTAAGATACACACACTTTGAAGGGTGAGTGGTTTCCAAGGCAATGTTACAATAACATTCAGAGAATGAGCTTGTTTGCTTTAATCTATTCATAAAGTTTGATTCATATATGAATCGTGATATGAATCGTGAATTTGAAACTATAGTAACAAAGATTGCTTAACATTAGAGTGGG